GGTCTTTATTTGTGACGAATATAAAAACAAAGTTATCATTTAGGTTGGACATATGTGGTAGGCAATCGCAGGGACCTCATGGAGGGACTTCATGGCTTGCATGAAAACTACTGTACCGTTATAACCACCAGTATTCACCACGCTACGTTGAAGCCTACCTATAGATAGAGCAGTCCAATCAATAGTATGACCGTGAGCATCTCATACCAATCTATAAAAAATATATATAAAAAAGGAGTAGCAAATCCTAGTAGATGGAAAACGGTGAGCTTCTTCCACTTTTCTATCACTTAGGGGCTTTGTAAGTAGTCAACCTCCTTTTTTTCCGATACATCATTTTTTTTTCTTTTTTGGAACCAACTAAAATCATGGCTCAGAAAACTTATATTAAATAAAGGAGTGCGGTACCCTGAATTGCCAAGAAAGAAAAAAGAACACGTCCAAAAACCAAAATAAGTAGTGAGATATGTAATTCAAACCAAAGGAAGAAAAAAGATAAACCGAGAGCTCAGAGCAAATAGAAAGAGACCAATAATCTGCCATCAGATGAAGGCAGTTAGACCCATAGTGCAGGGAATCTCGGTTGCCAAGAACACTTGGGGGCTGTTTGGTAGCAGGATTTAAGGGGCTGGGCAGGATTTAGAGCTCTATGCCACCAAACGAAAAAAGTGAACATCTTAAAGCAAATTAAATCCTCTATTCCTTCCTTTTGCAATAAATTTCGGATTTCCTAAATCCTATAGTTATAGTTCGGCAAATTTGTACGACTTGGCAGATTTACAGGACTTGGTCGAAGAAACCATTGTTACTTCCAATTCTACAAGGTGATTGGTCATCGCAGGGTTGTTTTTTTAATATTTAGACTAATTAAAGCATATTCATTGATACATTACATAACCAAGCTTCAAACCTAAAACCAATTAGTTCAGAAATTTTTGTACAAAAAAGCCTCCTTAGAAAGCATTAAGAAAGCCAACCCAAATGAAGCTTTAGTTAAATCCTGTGTTGCCAAACAGCCCCTTATGGTCTAATTCGTGAATGTAAAAAAACACAAACAGCCCCTTATGGTCTAATTCGTGAATGTAAAAAAACACAATAGAAGAGAGGCCATCCAGGAGAACCCCAAGGGCCATATAACTCATCATAGCCCTCTCGAAGAAAAAAAAAACAACAACAAACAAAACAAATTTATCAATAAGGAGGCAGCCACCGATCTGAAAAAGAGAACATTTCAGATGAACGTCTTATCGATTATGAGGAAAAATATTCAGACCTATCTCCGCATCCGGTGACCGGATACAATAATTTTCCATGGATAAGAGACTCATACCGATTTTTTTTTATCGGTATGAGAACGCATCTAAGGGATGAGAAAATTTTCCTTTCATTCTCTCCCAAAGGCTCGACTTATTTGACCCAAAACTTGAGTAAATGACCCCATATGACTGTGAAGTTTGTAGAAAAAAGAAAGGCTAAGAAGGTAAGAAGACAGATAATCCAAGCTCTCAAGAACTGCTTGATACAGTACAGATTCTCAAAAAGTGCCACAGGAAGACACATATTGAAAACCTGGCACCCATGTAAACATTAATTCTCAGTTTCTTTAGATTGTTATGTGGTTTAAAATTCTTAAGCTCCTTCTCATCCAAAAGTTGAAATCTTCCCAAATCCAAACGCTGCAAATGAATGTTAGTTTCATTTCCGAATGAGTTAGAGCAGTGGTTTCTGCAAGCTAACCCATCTTTTTGTGGAGAAATTATTAGGTGCGGTATCCGGACAAAGCTCGCATTTAGGCTCCAATAAAAAGAAGCCACACAATTTGTACACACCCTGCATACAACTTGTACACAGTGTGTGTATAAGTAGAATTTACACACCCTACATACAACTAGCAAATTAGACCACGAAGAAGTCAAATCATTGCAGTGCCTTCCATATTCTTGATCCTTCACTTCCATCAAGTTCTTAATAAGTAATCCGCTCAAAAAACAACAAGACCTCCCTTCTACTTTGTTTTCCAGAAAATATTGTAAAAAAAAATATAGGATTATAGGCTCCTCCATCTTTATAAACCAATGTTACCCCATTGTAAGGACAAATTCATAAAGTTCCCCTTATCAGATTTTTCAAGTTCTTAATTGATAAAGCTTATATTCAAATCATTAAAGATATGTATTGTGTTCAAACACAAGGTGGTTTGATCAAGGATTTTCCTATTTCGGATCGATTACATCAAGGATCAACCTTAAGCCCATATCTTTTTGCTTTAGTCATGGATGTTATCACTGGACATTTGCAAGAGGATGTACCTGGGTGTATGCTTTTTTGCTGATGATATTATTTTTGTTGATAAAACTAGAGAGGGAGTTGAAGGTAAACTTGAATTATGGAGGTCAACTTTAGAGTCTAAAGGTTTTTACCCGAGTAGATCTAAAACTGAAAATATGGAGTATAATTTTAGTAGCAATAGACCTAGTGAGGAGATTGTAACTTTGGGTGATCAAGACATTAACAAGAGTACATGTCTTAGATATCTTGGATATTGTTCAGAGATGCGTCTCTCAGGCCTCTATTTGATCCAATATTTGAGTAATAATGAGCCTCACAGGAAGAAAAAAATCTAGCAGCCTCAATCCAAAACTTGAGTAAATGAGACCAATATGAACGTGAAGTTTGTAGAAAGAAGAAAGGCTAAAAAGGTAAGAACACAGATAATCCATGTTCTCAAGAAATGCAAGATATGGTACAGATTCTCAAAAAGTTCTATAAGAAGGCACATATTGAAGACCTGGCAACCATGTAAACATTTATCCTCAGTTTATTTAGATTGTTATGTGGTTTAAAATTCTCGAGCACCTCCGAAACTCGAGCTCTACAATTTGCTTGGAATCTTCCTAAATCCAAACACCGCAAATTAATATTAGTTTCATTTTCAAATAAGTTAGAGCAGATGTTTTAGCAAGTTAAGCCATCTTTTTGTGGAGAAATTATTAGGTGCATAATCCAGACATAGCTCGCATTTGGGCTCCAATGAAATGAAGCCACATGATTTGTAGACACCCTGCACACAACTTGTACACAGGGTGTGTATAAGTAGAATTTACACACCCTACATACAACTAGCAAATTAGACCATTAAGAAGACAAATCATTGCAGAGCATTCCATATTCTTTGTCCTTCACTTCCATCAAGTTATTAAAAAGTATTCCGCTCCAAAAACAACCAGACCTCCCTTCTACTTCGTAAATATCTTGGGAATAATATATAACAGAATCATAAAATAGCAATATGGCATTCTCACCCAGTTCTTCAAATCTAAAACCATTGTTTAAAACCTCTATACAATGCTTTTCATCTAAGCTTAAATTCAAAACTGCACCGATGACCCTTACTGGCAATAGAGATAAAGAAATCTTTTTAACAAACTCCATTTTTGGATTTCTTTGATGAATAATTAAAAGTAAAATAAATCCCCATTGAGGCCCCCTCTCTCCTTGCCTGCCCACTGAGTTACAAAAATCTTACATCCCAAACTTCAATAAGCCAAAGAGAGGAGCACATTTTCCTATTTGATTTTGTCATACGTGCAAATGTAATCTGGAATAAGAAAATATTGGACATAACCTCATGCAAACGACTCCCTTGAAGTGCATCAAGTGATTCCAAAACAGGCCTATTTTTTAAAGAGATTCCAACGCAACTGTAATGACTTTTTTCCCATAAAGTTTTTGGAAAAATAAATCTACATTTTACGATCAAATTCCTGTCATTTCATCTTCATAGACATGTTGCAAGAGAGTTGTCTTCCCCATACATGTTTGTAAAGATTAAATTACGAAGGAATTTGATCTTAAAATGTGGGTTTGTGTTTCCAACAACTTTGATGTGAAAAGATATGTTGGAATGTCTTAAGGAGAGGCCTCGTTCGGAAAATAGCGGAAATGAATATCAAGATTTGATGTGAAAAAAGTCATTGCAGAAATGGACGAAGTTGCTCTCCCCTCTGGCTCATGTGAATATTGGTAGTAGAATTTTGGTAACAACTCGAATGGACTCGGTTGCAATGTTGATTAAAAAGGTCATTACAAAGGTGGAAATAGTTAGATTAGAGGGTTTGGAGGAAGATGAGTGTTTGCTGCTCCTTAAGTCTTATGCATTTGCTGGTGTAGAAAATCCCCCCTGAAAATTTAAGAGACATTGCTGGAGAGATGGTTAAAAAGCTTTTAGGATCTCCATTGGCAGAGAAGGTCATTGGTGGTATTCTAAGAGACAAATTGGATGAATCACATTGGAGAAAAGTTCTAGAAAGCAATTTATTGGATGAAAATTATATGCATTCCATCTTAAGACTGAGCTACATATTTCTGCCAAATCCTCTACAAAAATGTTTTGCATTTTGTTGTAAATTTCCACAATATCATCTATTTAATAGAGATGATTTACTCCAAATGTGGATTTCATTGGATTTCATTCAGCCACCTCAAGGAATGACTATGGAGGATTTCGAAGGAAGGTATTTTGATGATTTACTCAAAAAAGCTTTA